CCGGGACACTCTAGTCCTCCTTATTGTTCCCTCTGACTGACATGCCTTCCCCTTCCTCTCTCCAATTGGTACACTCCTACTCATCCTTCAAACCCCATCAAATTTGCCCCCCTCCTTGAAGCCCCCAACTCTTTATGTTCCCCAACCTTTTCTGTCCTACCTTCTTTTTAGCTGGAGTGTTTTCCTGGCAGGGAAATGAGGGGTGCAGGTGGATAGTTGTCCATCCTCTATCTCCAAAACTTAGATGAGTTACGTACACATCAGGGGACTCCATGGTGAGTGTCTCCTATCCCACGTGGGCACCTGTCTCTACGCGGGAACATTCTATCTGGCCAGGAGAGAACATGTGAGAACTTCCAGTCTTCTCTCTATATATTTATGGTCCTTTCCAAACATGTCTTACTTGTAAGACTCTGTGAGACTTAGGATGGAGCAGGGCCTTATTCCTCTCTGTGCCTCCTGTGGGGTGGGGCCCAGAATGATGAGGCCACCAAGTCCTTTCAAATCAAAATAAAAGGAGGTGTTGGCAGTAGGGAGCGTTCAAAGCAGATAATGGATGTGAGGCCCCGGGGTTCCGTGTAATGCTGATTAATATTAATGATTTGACATGCAGTTGCCTGCTGCTGCTAGGCCCTGGGCCAGCTGCACTCCATGCCGGGGCCTCGGTGGGAGAGCATTGGACTTCCCCCTCCCCCACCCCTTCTTCTGGGCACCCCCCACTGTCCAAAGGGGTTTTGACCCTACCTCTTCCCTCTTCCCTCCCAGATTTTTTCCTTGGGCCACTGCCCCAACCAAGACTGGCTGGCCGTCGGCATGGAGAGCAGCAATGTTGAGATCTTGCACGTCCGCAAGCCAGAGAAATACCAGCTGCATCTTCATGAGAGCTGTGTGCTGTCCCTGAAATTTGCCTCCTGCGGTGTGTCTGCCTGGGGCTTGGGGGGGACTCCAGGGCATTGGGACAGGGTTGCCAAAACACAAAATAGCACCTCCCCCCACACACAAAAACAGTTAAATTTGAATCTTAAACAACATATAATGTGTTACAATAAGTATGTCCCAAATAATGCACGGGACATACTTATACTAAAAAGCAGTTAATGCGTCCCAAATATTGCATGGAATTTACTTATGCTAACATTTTTTTTTTTTTTTAGTATAAGTATGTCCTAAATATTGTATGGGACACACATATACTAAGAAGAAAAACAATCATTGGGACACCTCTGCACTACAGATAATTTGTGGTTCATCACGATTCAGATGTCCCTGGGCACTGTGTATTTTATCTGGCCAGCTCTCTCCTGGGGGCACCCCTTCTTGAAAATCAGATGGAGGCCTGGGGCCTTGACTTTACCATCTGGGAAATGGAAGGATCAAGCTTCAGTACCCTAAGGGGGCTTGTGTCCCCCTAAAGGGAGAGGCCAGGCCCACTGCTGCCAGCAGTCCACAGCTCCAGGCTTCTTCAGTCCCTCCCTCCTCCAACCCCCCACCCCTCTCCTTCCCCCAGGGCGGTGGTTCGTGAGCACAGGGAAGGACAACCTGCTCAATGCCTGGAGGACGCCATATGGTGCCAGCATTTTCCAGGTACGTGGGGGCAGTCTGGAGGCCAGCCCCTGGCAGGATGCCATGTGCCCAGGGCCCCGGGGTGGCTGCACTGGCGGTGAAACAGCTCTCCTGGGTCCTCCGTCACACCTGCAGACGGCTGCTAACACTGGGTCCGCAAACTGCAGCCCACGGGCTACATTGCTGCCCAGCCTGTTTTCCTTTTCATTGTGGTGAAATAGAACAAAGTGTTCCATCTTAACCACTTTTAAGTGCACACTCCAGTGGCATTAAGTATATTCACACTGTTGTGCCACCATCACCACCATCCGTCTCCAGAACTTTCTCATCTTCCCAAACTGACATTCTATGCCCATTAAACACTAACACCTTCTTCCACTCCCCCATTCTCCCTTCCCTCCCCCCAAAACCCCCTCCCCCCCCACAACCACCATCTATACCTGCTGTCTCTATAACTCTGACTCCTTTAGAGACCTCCTGTGAGTGGGGTCATATAGTATTTAACCTTTTGTCTCTGGCTGATTTCACTGAGCATAATGTCCTCAAGGTTCATCTACTTTGTAGCAGGCGTCTAATTTCCTTCCTTTTTAAGGCTGAGTAATATTCCATTGTGTGAATGGACACTTCATCCATTCATCTGTTGATGGACACTTGGTTATGTCTACCTTTTGGCGATTGTGAATCATGCTGCTGTGAACATTCATGTACCTGTTTTGGTGTAGACACATTTTCATTTCTCCTGGGCATATACCTAGGAGTGGAATTTGTTGGTAATTTAATCTTCGATGGAACTGCAAGACTTTTCCAAATTTTCCATTCCTATCAGCAGCATAGGAGCGTTCAAAATTCTCCCCATTCTCAGCAAGGCTTGCTATTGTGTCTTTTTTGTTTGTTTTAAACCCTCACCTGAGGACATACTGAGAGAGAGAGAGAGAGAGAGAGAGAGAGAGAGAGAGATTGGGTTACCTTCCATATGCTGCCTGACTGAGGATCAAACCCGAAACCCAGGTATGTGCTCTGACCAGGAATTGACCCAGCAACCTTTCGGCGCCCTGGACAGTGTTCAACCACTGAGCCGCGCTGGTTAAGGCTGCAGTGTCTTTTGTGTTATAGTCATCCTGCTGGGTGGGGGGAGGTTTTTACATTTTTAAAGGGTTATATAAAAAAAAAGTGAGGTTGATTTATTTAGTCTCTGGATTTAATGGCTAATGACTTATTTGGACTTTAAGCCAAGCCTGAAATTTTACTGTTGTGCCCTGAGCAGAGAGTTTGCCGCGCCCTGCAGGAGGTCACCGTGCCCTAAGCCTGGCCCTCCGCTGTGCTGGGTGTCTGCCTGGTGCGCACGCCCTGAGCTTCCCCGGAAAGGGCAGTGTTCCAGTCCCACCTCCCTTGGTGTCCAAATAACAGTCCTGCATCATCACTTGTGCAGAAAGGCCCTTCCTCTGGCAGCCGTGTCGCCTCCCTGTTCCTGGCTCCCACTCTGGGCTCTCCTGTCTTGAGTCCTGTCTTGGCCCCACCTTGACTACGGGCTCATGCTTGGAGGCCGGCAGTGGCCCCAGTCACCTTGCCTCTTCCCTGCGAACGTGTGCAGGTCGCTGGGAGCTTGACCAGCCTGAGCCGGTGTCAGCCACGCCTCACCTCTGCCTTCTCTCCTCCCTCCTACAGTCCAAGGAATCCTCCTCCGTGCTGAGCTGCGACATCTCTGGGAATAACAAGTACATTGTGACGGGCTCAGGGGACAAGAAAGCCACGGTGTATGAGGTGGTCTACTGACGGAACCCCCTTCCTGCACTCGTGGAGAGAGGGTGCAGGAGAGACCCCAGCACCCCCTCTCTAGTTGTACCTGTGGGCGCCGGATCTCATCTGCTCTCTGGCCAACCCCTCACATCTTCCCCTGCTGGGTGTGGGGCCAGATGGGCAGAGGGACTTGGGGAAATAAATGTATTTGTCACAATGTCCTTCTGTCCTGGGCTGGGGAATTGGGCACTGTTGCTTTAATTGGGCAGCTGTTATTGAAGGAAGGTCACTTTCTAACTGTGTGGGTGTCTTTCTTCTCCCTAATCTGGATGAGATCATTATGTGTGAAATACTGTGTTGTATTGGGCAGTGTGGCTTAAGTCTTGCCATGTAACAAACAGCCCCCAGGTCTCAGTGGTAGAACACAATAGATATTTATCGGGCAAGTCCATGTGGCATTTGGGGCTCAACTCCAGGTACACTCAGGGCTCCAGGCTGGTGGTTTCACCACCTCGATATGTCACTTCAGGGTCCAACATACCAGGAAGATGGGTCATACATGGCTTTTAAGCCCGTAGCCCTAGAGTTTCACGTGATCACTTTTAGTCCAGCCTTTTGAACGGAATCTTCCCAAGACACTGCCCATTTACAAAGGGTTGGGGTTTATAGTGGAGCATGTGGTGTTTCCTTTGAGGCCCAGAGATAACGCCTACGAGCCTGGCACACGATGCCCGGCCCACTGTCATCATCACAGCGGAAGTCCCAGTCCCAGAGGAGGTGACTAAGCCAAGAGGTAAGGGAGGAAGGGTCACCAAAGACAAAGGGAACATGTGCAGAGACTCAGAGGTAAGGAAGGAACTTAGCCTGGTGAAAACCAGGAGGGCGGGAGGTGGTGGTGGGGGACGGTTCCTCCTCAGCTACAAGAGGAGTTAGGTCTCCAGTTGGAGCTTAAGCAGAGAAAGCCACGGAAGTAGGAGCCAGAGGCCGGCAGGGCTGGTAGGGGTGGTGACAATCAGATCTGGGTTCTGGAAGCTCCCTTGGGCTGCCACAAGGACCATGGAGTAGAAGGGGCTGGGGGACCGAGCAGGGAAGCTGCTGGGACCTTCCGGAGGGAGATGGCAGGGTGACAGGGTCCCTGCTGGAAACAAAAGCCACCCCGAGGTGGAGTTTCTGCAGATTCTTTATGGAGAAGGATAATTCTGTGGTGGAGGGAGCTACACCTGTTGGCACCGTTTGGGACTCCTTATCCTGGAAGGACAGGTGAGCAAATGGTGCTATCGGAGTCCCACCGGGAGGGTGAGAAGCCCTGGTCTAGTCAGACAGGGCGTTTTCGAAAGGACAGAGAACTCCATCCCTGGAATTGTGCAGGAAGCGGCAGAAAAACATCTCTGTGAGATGAGGGGACATTAGCTCAGGAGAACAGGGGGAAGTGTTCCATATCCCCCCTGCCTCCCAAGTGGGGGTTAGTGGCGCATTTTTTTTAATGCCCTTGACCGGAATCGAACTCGGGACCCTTCAGTCCACAGGCCAGGGCTCTATCCACTGTGCCAAACCACCCAGGGCTAGGGGTGGGTGGCGTTGATCAGATCTTGGAGAATGTGGACTCTAAGGCTCAGAGACCCGGGCTGGACAAAGTCCTTCCACATCTTCACGAGACGGCCAGGGGACGCGATGCAAAACCAGGCAGCTCTGCCTTTTCCAGTTGCTTTATTACACGTGACAAAGATCACCGGCCCACCCATCATGACCCTCCACCGCTTCCCCCTCATTGGGGGGGGAAGGACCCCGAGTTGAGATGGCAGCAGTGAGCCCCTTAGTACATGATCTGGTACACCGAGGCATGGTCCCTGGACCCCGTGGCGATCAGGCGGTTGTTAGAGGAAACGTCACAGCACATGACGGAAGTTCTCTCGGGAACCTTGGAGCACAGCATGGGAGGCTCACTCACCCTGGCCCCTACCCGTGCCTGTCAGTTCAAATGTGGTCCCTATGGGCCCTTTGCACTGGGACTCCTGGCCTAAGCACCGCCTGCCCCACCCCCGGGCCTCCATGGTACCTGGAACTGCAAGGTTCCTCTGGGCATGCTGTAGATGCTGACCAGGTTGTCCATCCCCACGCTCACCCACCACTGGCCTGGAAGGAGGCAGAGGGGCACCAAGTCAAAACTGGCAGCTGAGGGCCACACTCCTGGGGATCCGGGAAATGGAGGAACCCCACCTCCCACCTGTCCCCTAGCAGCAATGTGAGAGGCTCAGGCTGATGAAGGGTAGAGGGGAGGAAGGGGCTCAGGGCAGGTCAGAGAGGGCCGGGCCCAGTTAGAGTGGGGTGGGGCCCTGTGGGTGGCTGGGGGCCACAGAGTACTCCCCCACTCACCGAGAGGGGAGAACTTGAGACCGAGGATGGTGCTGTTCTTACAGCCCACCATGTGCTTCTGGCCCCCGAGGGTGGACTGCAGCCACTGCTGGCCATTGGCTGTGCCCACCAGAACCCAGTCCTCCCGGGGGCTGGGGGACAGGCTTATTATCTGGGGGTAGGTGGCAGGAAAGAACCTGGTCAGGGCCCAGCCTGGCCCAGGAGGTGGGCAACAGTACGGGAACCAACCCCAGGGGCTGCCCATTTTCTGGTTGCAAGGCCCCCAACAAGCAACTCTACATCTCCAAGCCTTGGTTTGCTCATCTGTAGAATGGGCGGGTCCTCTGTATGAAATTATCACAAAGACTGTGAAAGTATCCAATGCTATTTGGGCAACAGGAAAGAACATTTCTAATGGCCCCTATTCTTCCCAGCACCACCAAGACTTGGGGTACCACTACCCCCCCCCACCCTACCTCACAGCATCCACCTCCTCCTCAAGCCCAAGACCCAGCTGCTACCCGGCCAAGCAGGCCCCATCCCAGCCTGCACACCTGAGACTCAAATTGGTATTCCCGGGGCTCCTTGGTCCTCAGGTCCCAGCACCGCAGGCAGGCATCGAGACCCCCGGTCCAGATGTTATTGTCTTTGACAACAATGCTCTTGGCTCCGTTCGAAGGGCCTGGCAGGTCCCTGGCCAGGAGGGGCAGCAGAAGGGGGTTGGAACTGAGACTCTACGCTTTGGGCCCAAGGAACATCACTCACCCAACCATCCCCAGTTGACAGATGGGGAAACTGAGATAGACAAAAAGTACCAGGACTGGGCTTTGAGGAAACAGCCCAGCCCGGTCAACATTTGAACCCGGGTCTTCAACCCTCTCAGACCTGAGTTCAAGCAGGCAAAGGCGTTAACCTGGGGACTGCTGAGTCCCCGCTCAGCAGATGATGCCTGAAGGGGCTCTCAGGGTGGTGCCGCCCACCCCGGGGCCACACCTGACCACACTGTGGTCCCGCAAGTCCCAGATCCTGATGGTGCCCTCGGTGAAGCTGGCGAAGGCCAGGCTGTCCTCCAGGTTGGCAGCCAGGGCCTGACAAGTGAGATCTGCAGCGGGTAGCTCATCGCGTATGTGCAGGGAGGGCGCCATCAGGTCCCAAACGCTCACGCTGGCCAGGTTGTGGCCGCCCGTCAGCAGCGTCGTGCTGTTGGAGAACAGCAGGCAGGTGCGCAGGTAGGCCCCCGGGGTCTGGGAAGGGCAGAGGCACAGGTGAGCGTCCTGCCCTCCTGGTAGCTCTTCCTGCTCCCACAAGCCTCACCCCCTGGAACCAGCCCCGCGCTCACCTGGACACGCAGGTGGCTGACGGGGAATCTGTCCTCCACCTTCTGGCCGACCAGGCTCCACACCTTGACGCCACTCCTGCTGCAGGTGAACACGTGCCGCGTGAAGCTGCTCACCGCGGTGGCCAGCACGGACTCCCCGTGCTTCAGCGTCCGCATCAGCTTCATTCTGTGTGGGAGGGCCAGCTTCTTGGGTTGCCAGGGCAAGGCATCTGGCCTCTTCCATGTGACTTCGAAGTCCTCAGGGTCCCAGCATCTTAGGAGGGGAGACCTTGGGGTCACTGGCCTGCCTGGGAGCCCCTTTGCCCAAAGGGAGGTACCCATCAAGGCCCTAGAGCAGGGGTGGGAAACTTTTTGACTCGAGGGCCACAATGGGTTCTTAAATTGGACCTGAGGGCCGGAACAAAAGCATGGATGGAGTGTTTGTGTGAACTGATATAAATTCAAAGTAAACATCATTACATAAAAGGGTACAGTCTTTTTTTTTTTTACAAAAGGGTACGTTTTTTTTTTTTTTTAGTTTTATTCATTTCAAAGGGGCGGATCCGGCCCGCGGGCCCGTAGTTTGCCCACGGCTGCTCTAGAGGGACTTTTTTCTTTTTCGGATGCAAGGATTTTCTCTCAGGCCTTCTCTCTCCACTACACTACCCTTTCCCATCTCCTACCCACATCCCTCCAAGTATTCTCCCTGTCCCATAACCAAATACTGCGCCCGTCTGCCTGCAATGATTTGCCCCCTGGAAAACTCCTGCTCATCCTTCAAGGTCCCAGCCACTATGCCCCTTCTTCCAGGCAAACTGTCTCTCCCACATCTGGGCTCACCTAGCTTCAGACCGCAAGGCTGGGGATGCCTGCCTCCAGCTCGGAAGCAGCCTCTCCCCCTCCCCATTCCATGGGAGTTGCCTCCTCCAATCCCTTGAACCTGGGCTGGTCATGTGGGTAGGGGTAGTGATGCTGGTATGAAAGTAACTCGAGTTCCACATCCCTACCCAGACCCCTCTTCTCCAGTTACTGAAGACAGTATGGCGGTGATGGGGAGGGTGAGGACATGCCTGTACCTCTGGGCTCTTCCACCTCCTGGGGACAGAGGTACAGGTAGGAGAGGCAGGTCTAACACTTACATGGGCTTCAAGAAGCGATAGGTTGTCCTAGCAGGCTCCTGCAGGTGGACCAAGATCAAAGCTAAGCCATGTTGGCTCGCTCTGCTCCAGAGGCCCAGACTTTCAATGTAGGGGCATCTCTTGCCTGGCTCGTGCCTGGCTCGTGCCTGGGTCTTACCTGGGCCACACGGGACAGCATCACCCCTGGTGCCATGCCTGGCCCTATGCTCCCTTCTGGGAAACCTGGAGGGGAGATGTGGAAGGGCACAGGTGGGCGGAGAACTGGGCTGAGATAAGAGCAGTTTAGCAGCAGATATGGCCCCC